GCGGGGCGGGGCGGGGCGGGGCGGGGCGGGGCGGGGCGGGGCGGGGCAGTACGATGCGGATGTTGTCGGGGTTGGCGCCTCGCCCCACCACCTCCTCCATCGTTGCCATCATCGTGCCACCTGTGCCCACATGCGGTGCAGTGCGGTGGGATGAGGTGGGATGGGAAGAGATCATGAGAGAGTGGTTGAGGCGTGGAGGGCATGGTGTGTATGCGGGCAGTCGACAGGACCCAGCAGGCTGCAGACCCTATAGGGGCATGTGTGCCATGCAAGCATGCTCCCCATGCGAGCATGCTCCCCATGCGAGCATGTGTCATCGTGCTCGCATGTGCGTGCGTGCGACAAGGCGCACTGACCGGTGGCGAGCATGGCGTCCACGATGATGATCCGCGCCGAGGGGTTGAACGCCCTGGGCAGCCTGGTGCATGCATGGGGGAGGGGGCGAGCGAGAATGGGCGAGGTGAGCGGGGCATTGAAGGGGGTGGGTGGGGTGGCTTGGCAGGAATGATTGGCAGAGAAGCAGAGCGGTGGAGGCAGCAGTGAGCGGGGTGAGGGGGGGTGGAGTGGGGCGGAGGGCACTGACTTGTTGAGGTAGAGCGTTGGCTGGAGCGTGGTCTCGTCCCGCACGTAGCCTGCCCACATGCACATGCACGGGGTGATGCATGCATGAGGGGGGGGGGGGGGCGAATGCGTGCACGGCGCGAGGGAGAGATGACTGACAGGTGGTGTGTGATAATGGCACACATGGCACACACATGCTCGAAGGAGCGCTCCCAGGTGCACAAGGTGGTGAGCATGATGGCACACATGGCATACGTGTTGCCTGTAATATGCTTTGGAGGCAATACCGAGGTGGTAGGAGGCAATACCGAGGTGGTAGGAGGCAATACCGAGGTGGTAGGAGGCAATACCGAGGTGGTAGGAGGCAATACCGAGGTGGTAGGAGGCAATACCGAGGTGGTAGGAGGCAATACCGAGGTGGTAGGTGATGGTGTGCGGGATGACTGGCCCCATCTGCTCTGCCATGACCGCCCCCGCCCTCAGCACCGGGATGATCTGCCCCCCATGCATGCATACACGCACATGTGGTGGGGCGGGTGGGGCGAGGAGAGGAAAGGAGAGGAAAGGAGAGGAAAGGAGAGGAGATTATGTGCATAAGCAACTGGCTGTGAGGCAACAGTGGTGCGGCATGGTTGGTGATTACGCACAGAACTGCAGGGAACATTATTTTGCTCGTCCATGCACATGGGAAGCATGCAGCAGGGGCTGCCACGTGGCTCACCGCGATTGGCTTGTAGGGGTCAACAGCCTCCACCTCAGCGACGCCACAGGGCGTGGCCACCTCGCCGTTAATCATTGGCTGCCGCCCGCCAGGGAGGAGGGGGGGGTTGTAAAGGGGATGGGAAGGCGAGGAGAGAGAGGGGCAGGCGGAGGAGCAAATGATTTTTGGACTGAAAAGAGGAGGGCGGAGTGAGGGCGATGCAGTGCAGTGCAGTGCAGTGCAGTGCAGTGCAGTGCAGTAGGGGTGGACTCGGTGCGCTGGTGGCAGTGCGATGGGTGTGCAGGGGGAACGGTTGAGTGGATGGCGACATGTAAGTGGTGCTCAACTCACCAGCCAATCACGCGTTGCTTCATAAGCGATGTTGCGACCAAGCTCGGCCAGTGCGGCACCTGCAGGTCGACACGCGGGGAGGAGGGGCATGGCAGCATGTGGGGCAAAGGGGGCACGGCAGGGGTGGACACTGAAGCACGGGCAACCGCATTCATGAGTCACGCCAACAGACTGGGCCTTTGGCCTGCACTATCATTCACCACCAACGACTGGCATTGACCAGCGTTGACCAGCATTGAGCAGGGGTGGAGCGGCGGGGACTGACGGAAGATGGGGGGCGGCGAGGTGGCGTTGCGCAGGATGGCGATCCAGTGCTTGATGAGCGGGTGTGGCGGCACCATCACCTGCTCACACGCCACGCGGGCACACAGGGCGGGGGGTGAATGGGGAAAGGCAAGGTTTGGGGAGGAGGATTAGAAGGGGATGTTGCGGTGGGCAGCGAGGCAGTGGGCAGCGGAGCGCACATGCAAGTGCATGTGAGGGGCGGCACCACACACACACACACGCACCAGGCGCATCCCCCTGCTCCTACGCTGCTCCCTCTCCTGTGCCCTTCCGTGCGTGTCCCCGGTGGCCTCAACCCCTTTTCCCCGCCCCCGACCCCTCCTCCCCCCTCCTCCGCCTCACCAGCATCTGCCGCCCGAAAGCGGGCTTAGCAGCCGCGGAGCAAACAACAGGGGCGCCGCGTCTCGCGGCTCCACGAGGCGCTTTTCGACAGGAAGGCGCGGAGAGTCCGCTTTGGGCCGCGCTGTGAGAGAGCGCGCCTCTCAGCTCTCCGCCCGTCAACCAGCCTGTGCACGCCCGCGCGCCTCCCCGCGCGCCCCCATGCTGCGGCGGGCAGGCGGCCTTTCCGCCGGGAATACAATGGAAGGCGAGCGGGGGCGAGGTGAAGGGTTTGTGGTGGGGTGGAGAAAGGGGGGGGGAGGAAGAGGAGGGAGGGGGAAGCGTTGGGGAAGAGCGGGGGGAAGCAAGAGCGCGTGACGAGGACGATGCGCATGGAGCGGAGCGATATAGCGAGGAGGCGAGCGCGAGAGGGGATTCGGAAGACGCGGGGGGGAAGCGGGGGTGTAAACGCATGGGCGAAACGGCGCAAGAAAGGAGGAATGCGGCGACGAGAGCGTGGCAGATGGGACGCTGGTCCGCGTTGCGGTGTAATACGGCGGGCGGGCGCGGAGGGGGTCAGGGAGACCGACGGTACCTGAAGGCCACCCGCTAGTGCGGCAGCCGGAGCGGGAGATGCGGCGAGCATGGTGGACGAGAGGACGCACGGGACGGGGTGCCCAAGGTGGATGCGAGGAGACGCACGGTGCTAGGATTAACACTTCTGGAGCGCTGGTAAAAGAATTGCGGCCGCGAGAAGCGCTTTGGATCAGTGAAAGGTGCAAGAGCGCACGGGTACGAGTGGAATGGAGGTGAGGCAGGAATGACGGCAGCAGGACAAGGAGACAGGTGACTGGGAGGAAAGGGATGCGTGCCAGCGTGTAGGCTCCGCATACTGTACGATCCGCTTCACTGACGTCGTACCTCAGTGTTGCAGATGGGCACAGACGTACAATAACATGAGCACAACACCGATTTATCACACTTGTGTATACTGGTATAAAATAATACCGAGCTAAATTTGGTTCCAAGATTGATGACCCGAAGTAATTGAGAGTTCTCTTCATTCTAAAATGGTTAAATGATTAATTCTCCATCAACGGAGATAATATGCACGGCTCCCTTAATTTCAAAGTATCCGTACGTATCCCATTTACGCCTGGAGAATTGAGTGTTCCATACGTCCGGCTTGGGTTGGGTGGATAGAGTAGCGTGTAACGAGGGAGCAATCCTCTAGTGGCCAGGTGCCCTCGCAGCGTTGTGAGGCGCCACGCTGTTCGCGGTCACGGCTAATCCAGAGTCCGTCGCGCTGGCATTCTGCGGCCTATTCTGACCACATGCATACAATCAGTTTCGCTGCTGACATCATCACGCACATGGGGGTTTCAGACCCCTTTCGAGGACAGACGGGAAACATATTGCGTCGCATCAGAATCCGCTCGCCTACGTCGCAAAAAACGCGAGGAGATCGTCCGACCGCTTCTCAGCCAACATCTTGATCCGGTCGAAGAGAACCGCTAGACGTGGATGGCAGACCTTGATCCGACGGTCACAAACATCTCGAGTGTTGCTTGAATCGCCACAGTCTCTCCCCCCTCCTGGCCCCCCCAACACAACACTCTCCACTCCACCACTCTCACCAGTTTCACACCAGTTTCACTGCCACCCTCGCCTTGCAGTGCCTGCCAGAGCCAGGCAGCCTATCCACCCGACCGATTATGGTTTCGACTCTCTTCATTGCTGCTCCGTTTCACCATTCCCTGACTATCGTGAATAACCTTCACGCGATGCGGAGACCAAGTCTTGCATATCGTTTCTTGATAGATGACACGTGCAGTGTGCAACATCATATTGATTCGGCGCCGTCGTATCGTTATGCTCTAGCTCGCTCTTGTAGAATTGTCGCTTAGAAGTTTATTCCCCCCAAGGCCTAAATACTCTATGGCGCAGCAGGCGTCGTGCCAGCATCCGTCGTGCACCATACTGTGGACCTGCAACCGGCCCGGCGTAGACTAGCCTCGTAGCCAGCCATCGCCAACACGGATATTGTGTCGGACGAGGATTCGTTAGGGGTAAACGAAGCAGAGCAGGCGAATTTCTAAGGGGTTAGGTCGAAAAGGCCAGTGACTTCACAGCAGCAGAAGAGCACGTAGAGATTCCCGACCAGCTACGCCGTTTAGATTCAGCTGACGAATACAGGTCGCAATATACTTATGTCATCGTCGCCGTGGAACGCGGGGGACGCCGATGCGGACCCTGCCATCAACGCTTGGTCTACGGTGCGTTGCGTTCTCTCCCTCGCCGCCCCACTGCCTCCTCCCTACCCCTTCCCTTGGCAACCCACTCGCTATTGCCCGCCGCGTCGCGCAGAAGCATGCGGGCTACCATGCCAGTTCCTTCTCGCGGACTGCCGCGGTGAGCGTGCTGGCCGCTGCTGGTAGCAGGAGCCGCGGGTTCTGGCGCGGGCGGCGTGCGGTGGGTGCAGCGGAAGCTTCGGTGACGGTAGAGGAGACGCTGGGAGAGGATGACATGGCGAAGAGGAAGAGCTGATGGTGTAGATGCGTGGGGGTAGCTTGTCTCCATCTGCACTGGCCGCTGTCTCCTGTAACACTTATTGTAGCAGTAACCGTCGCAGAATTGTCGTTGTAGCTGCAGCAATACCTGTAGCATGAAGTGAAGCAAGAACTGTAGGTTCAGTCGCGCACTGGCGCCAGTGGTCGGTAGGCCGGCAAGAGAAGCCCGAGGGTGGGCGACGAGGGAGCATTTGACGTGTTAGCAGGCTCAAAGAATGCCGCACTCTGCGTGCTATCCTCTCGCCCTTCGCGCGTGTCTTCCCTGTCAGTTCCGTCGTTCGTTATCATCCGCTTCTCGTCCACCTCTCCGTCCTCGTCGCCGTGCGCTGTCCCGCTCAACATCCTCGTCCCTTCCCCCGCTCGCCCGCCCCATCCCCCCTTTCCTCCCCTTCCTCCCCCCCCCTCCCCCGCAGTTCGACGACATGGTGTGGCTCGAGTTCGGCGCCGACGATCACATCGTGCCCGCGGATGCCGCCAACGCCCACGGGGACTGGTCGGCGGAGATGGGGTGCGCGGAGGAAAGGGGCGCACGGCCGGATGGGGAAGGATTGGGGGCAAGCGGAGACAGGCGGTCGGTTCGCGAGATGGAAACTGACGGGGCGCTCGGGGAGTGGATGGCGGAGGCCGGGGGCGCACCCGGGCGGGACGTGGCGCAGAGGGGAGAGGAGGGCGCGCGGAAGGCGGGTAAAGGGGAAGCGGCGGACGATTTTGCGTTGCAGCAGTGCGCGGAAAGGGAGGGCGGAGCGGGGCGAAGCGGGACAGGCTACGGATATGGTTACGGGATGGGTTACGGGCATGGGGAGTTCGGCGGTGGCATAGGGGGGGGGGGCGGGGACGAGGGCGCGGTGATGCGGATGATGGACGCGCACATGCGCGCCAACATGGGCATGGATGCGCGCGGTGGCGCTAGGGGCATGAGCATGGGCATGGGCATGGGCATGGGGATGGGGATGGGGATGGGGATGCAGCAGAGCGAGGTGCGCGACGGAGGGGGGGACGCGCGCGTTGCGGAAGACGCGGACATGGGGGAAGGGGGAGAGGAAGGGGCGGGGGAGAGGGAGAGGGCGTGCGATGGAGGCGAGAGAGGGGCGAGTGGCGGCGGACGGGGCGGCGAGGCGGAGGGGGCTGCGGCAGTGGAGGCGGGCGGCGCAGTGGGGTGGAGTGGCGGGGAGTCAGCGGCGGAACACAGCGGCTTCGCCGTCCGCCCACTCCCGTTAGTGCCCCGCCCCCCTCTTATTCACTCCCCACCCTTCCTCCCAAACAACTCCCGTTGCTTCTTCTCCTGTTCCCCCCCTCCCCAGTTCGCCCCCACGTCATCTGCTCTTCGCTTCAACGTTCTGATTCCTTCGTCTCCCTTTCTCCCTTCCCTTTCCGCCTCCCGCCGTTCCCGTCTCCCCCATCTCAGGGCATCGGCGCTCCCTTCCGGCTGTGGGGGAAGCATGGAGGAGCGGGCGGAGGGGAATGCGGAGGGGATGGCGGAGAGGGGTGGGGAGGGCGCAGGAGGGGTGATGGCGGAGGGAGAGGGTGGCTTCTTAAACAGCAGCACGGGGGAGAAGGGGGGCGGAGGGGGGGACAGCGGAGATGCACACGTGGGGGCGAGCGAGGGAGTGAGGGGGGAGGAGCGAGGCGCGGAGCAGGGTGGGGCGGATTGGGCGAGGGAGAGCGCGGGCGCACACGAGGGGCGCGCAGGCGACAGGCGCGAGGGTGACGAGGATGAGGGGCAGGCAGAGGGGAAGGGGAAGGACGAACGAGCAGGAGGAGCAGCAGAGGCAGTGGCAGCGATGGGTGGAGGCATACGGAGTGGTGTGAGCGATGCGGTGAGTGCGAGTGATGCGGCTAGTGGGAGTGATGCGTTTTGCTCAACAAGTTTCTGTGCACAGGGTGACTCGTTTGCTTCAGTGCACTCACCTCACACCACCAGTCCGCACACTCCACGCTCACCCATGCATTCCAACGCCCCACTCACTTGCGGCACTCCCTTCCCTGAACCACTCTCGTGCTGCCTTGACACACACTCATACCACCCCCCACCCCCATTGCCCCTCCCGCCTGCTGCCTGCTGTGCAGCACTTGGCGCGGCGGCGAGTGTTGGCGCGGCGGCGCAACGAGAGGGAGCAGCGCGCGCCCGCAGCAAGGAAGACCGCCCACTCCGCTGCTGCTGCTGCGCCCGCCGCCCGCCCCGCCACCACCCACCCGCACCTGCACACTCACTCGCATTCGCACTCACACTGTGCGCCCCTGGCGTCCTCCTCGCCCACCGTGGCCTCCGCCCCCCCCCCTCTGCTGCGCCACTCCCTCATCGCCTCCCCCTCCGCGCACCCCCCTTCCCCTTCCGTCTCCTCACTCCACCCTGCCCCTCTCCCGCGCTCTGTCCCCACGCCCTCCTCACTCCCAGCGCTGCCCTTCTTCCCCGCGCCCACGCCCTCACCCGCGCCCGCCCTGCCTGCCGCGTGCATGCGGCCCCCCCACGTGCCCGCTGCGTTCCTCTCACCGCCACTGCCCGCCTCGCCTGCCGCCTTCGCCCTGCTCCGCCCCCACGCGCCCCCTGCTGCCCTGCTGGCGCGCGGCCTGGGGCAGGGGCAGCACCCCCTCGCCATGGGGCAGCAGCAGCAGCAGCAGCAGCAGCAGCAAGATCAGCGGGTGCTGGGGCGGCAGATGCTGCTGTACCATCAGCAGCAGGTGCAGCAGGGGGTGAGCGAGGAGCAGCAGGCGCGGCAGCATGAGAGTGTGGTGCAGAAGCAGTGGGTGGAGCAGCACGAGCAAGCCAGGACGCACGAGGTGGAGACAGCACGGCTCGGCAGTGCCGGCACGAGCAGCGGCAATTACATGAGCGCCAGTGGCGGCATCATGTCGGGCAGCATGGCAGGCAGCATGATGGGCGGTGCAACGCATTTGCTTCCTGCCAGCCTTGCAGCCCGGCAGGCTGCAGTGTTGGTCCGCCCCCCTCCCCCGCCCCCACCCAAGTGGCCTGCTTCTGTGCCTGCCTCGCCCCTTCCACCGCCCTCCCATCTGCCTCGCGCCTCCTCCGTTCCTTCTAGCACCCATGCTTCCACCTCCACTGCCCCTCTCTCCACCTGTCCCTCCCCTTCTGTTGCCTCCACTCGCCTCTCACCCCGCGCCCTGCAACCTCCGTCCCCTGCTGCACCGCCTGCTGCTGCAACGCCGGCTCTAGCAGCATCTGCCCTCACAGCGGCTGCGGCAGCTGCTGCCGCCAGTGCAGGCCCAGCAGCAGCAGCAGGGCGGGCAGGAGGGGCAGGTGGGGCGTGTGCAATGACGCCAGCGGAGAAGATAGAGAAGCTGCGGCGGCGGCAGCAGATGAAGGCGGCTCAGATGAAGGCGGCTCAGGTGCAGCTGGCGCTGGAGCAGCGGAAGCTGGCGCGCCTGCATCACCTGCATGCCGCCCACCACGCCCACCACGCCCACCACCTGCACGCCGCTCAGCAGCTAACTCACCTGCAGCACCTGCAGTTGCAGCAGCAGATGGAGGCGCAGCAGCAATTGCGTGCGCAGGCGGCATGCAGTGCGGCAGCGCATGCTGCTGCCATTGCACCCTCCGTTCTGCACCACAACCCACCCACCACCTCGGTACCATCATCAGAAGCGGCAGCAGCAACGGCAGCGGCGGGCTCAAATGAAGCAGCGGCTGTAGCAGTGGCAGCAGCAGTGTGCGCTACAGATGTGCGTGGTGGTGCTGGCAGTGCCACCACCGCAGGCAGGTGCCCCCCGGCGTGGGCCCCACCTGACCTGGCAGCGGCTCGCCCTCTGGCCGTGGTGCTCAGCTCCAGCAACCTCGAGAGGTTCGCCACGTCAGCTTCCACGTCAGCTGCTGTAGGGGCAGGGCGAGACGGCAGTGGCGTGGTGGCATCGTGTGGGGCGGGCGGGGGGCAGAGCAGGCATGCAGTGGGCAAGGGTGAGGGCGCAGGGTACGTCGCGAGGGGGAGCGCGGGTGGAGCGGAAGGAGGAGGGTGTGGGGAGTGTGGGGAGGCTTCAGGCAAAGCGGAGGGGGGCAGCAGCAAGAGAGGGGGGGAGGAAGGGGAGGAGGGGTCGGTGGAGTGTGTGGTGCTGGGGCAGCTGGGCGACACCATGAGCAAGGTGAGAGGCAAGAGCGCGTGGGAGGGCAAGCAATGCGCCTTTGTGGGATTGATTGCGTCCTTGTAGCATCAAGCCCTGCTGCCTCTCTGCTCCCTCATCTCTACTCCTCCCCTCCCCCTCTCCCCTTCCCCTCCCCCGTCCCCCTTGATGCAGTTGGACGTGGCCACGAGGCTGCTCATCCGCGATGCCTTGCTGCGCCTCGCCCACAGCGCCTCCCACCGCACCGCCGCTCCCCCCTCCCCGCCTGCCCCCCCGCTGCCTCCCCACTCGCCCTCCACCAACTCCGCCCTCTCCTCCCACACCCACTCCCTCTCCCTCACATCCCCCTCCCTCCGCCGCCACTTGTCCGAACCTACACCTGTTGCCCACCGCCGAGCCTCACACACAGCTTCGGAAGCATCAGTGGCACGGAACAGCAGTGGTGGGCAGCACTCCGCGGTGGATGCCCATGCCGCTCCGTGAGTTGCCCCGCCGCATCTCTCTCTCTCTCTCCTGCCTCACTCTCCTCTGCTTTAGCCCCCTGTTCCCTTCCTCTTGCAACTTTTCTCGCTCGCCTTATTCTGTTCCTCCAACCTTCGCTGTGCCCGGCAGGGAGAGCGCAGGGGAGGCGGGCACGAACGCGGTGGACAGGGCCATTGCCAATCTGCTCTTCCACCGCCCCTCGCCCCCCGCCCCTGCCCCGCCTGCCGCTGCCCCTGCTGCCACTGGGGTGCCCGCCATGCCCCGCGCTGCCACCGCTCCAGGGGGCGTGCAGGGAGGTGCACGAGAGGCGGTGCTGGGAGGGGGGGGGGATGGAGAAGGGCTGTGTGCAGCTCCTGCTGCCACTGCCGCCCCGCCCTGTGCTGCCATGTCCACCCCACACTCTCACAGCGCCTTCTCACCCCGCCCTTCCCCCATGCACATCTCGTCGCCTCCCTCCCCCCCCGCCCCCCAAAGACACTCTCTCTGCTCGCCCATCGCCACTACCTCCTCCTCTGCCCCCGCCCTCTCGCTCTCCCACTCCTGCGCCTCCCCCATCCCCACCACGCCCACCACCCCCACCACCACCACTACTACCACCACCAGGGATACCACCACCACCCTCCGTCCCCTCCCTGCTGGCTCCTCATCCCTCTCCTCCCACCAGCAGCAGCAGCACCACCACCACCACCAACAACAACAACAACAACAGCAGCAGCTTGCCACGCTGATGTGGCAGCCCCGTGGTTTGCCACCTGGCACACGCTGGTTACCAAGTCTAGCCAGGGCTGCTCCAGACGTCCCTATGGCAGGCTCGGAGGCAGGTCTGGCCGAGACTGGGGGCAAGCTGGGCATGGGTGAGGGCGGAGGCACGCAGGGTGGAGGAGCAGGGCGGCAGGTTGCAGGGGAGGGGATGGGGGCAGCAGGAGATTTTTCAGGTGGCGCCTGGCGATGTATCTCAGGTGTTGCTTCAGGTGTATCTGACTCGTCGCTGCCATCCAGGCTTCCGGCGCTGCCTCCCACTCTCTCAGCGTCATCAGGGCGGCCAGGTGGCGTGCTGCCATTGGTCCATGGCGCGGGGGACGGCAGCAGTGGCGGCAGCAGCAGGGAGGCGCAGCAGGCATTCAGTGAGATGCTGTGCCGGCAGCAGCAGCAGCAGCCGCAGCAGCAGCAGCCGCCCTTCCAGGGCGCGCACACGGGAGCAGGGCAGCACTCTGCCATGCACGCGGTGCTGGGAGGAGGTGCCACCATGGGCGTGGGCATGGGTACAGGCATGGGAACGAGTATGGGCATGGATATGGGTATGGGCATGGGTGTGAGGATGGGCGGGAGAGCAGACGGTAGCATGGAGATGGGGGTGGAGGGCAGTGTGGGTCTGATGGGGTCAGGCATGGCGGGCATTGCAGGGGAGGCATGGGGAAGAATGGGGGGGAAGGCGTGGGGGGATAAGGGAGGGGGAACATGGGGGGCTGCCACGAGAGACATTAGGGACAGCGGTTTGGGGAGAGGGGCAGAGCAATGGGAGGGCTTAGGTGGAGTGGGGCAGGGGCGTGGGGGCACGTGGGGGGAGGGTAGCGGGGGAGGAGGCATGGAAGCAGATGTGGGGGGGGAGTTGGGAGCGGTGGTGAGGGGTGGGGTATCTGTGCCTGTTGCATCACCTTGGATGGCCACTGCTGGCCGGGCTGCACTGCAGCAGCAGCAGCAACAACAACAACAACAACAACAACCACCACCACGGTACAGCGTGGGATTGGTGGGGCGGGGGGAAGAAGGCACAAGTGTCCGAGGTGAATAGTGGGCGGTACATGTGCCGTACAGTCGTGCCATGTGTGGCTACAGCTCACCCCTTACCCCTTGCTCATACCGTATCATGTGCTTTGATTTGCGTACAGCCCAACAGCATAGCCTAATGTGCTCAGCTGCTGCTGAGGTAATACATATGGGTGCTTTGTACCCTGCTATACTAGGTGCTCAATTGTGTCCGTGTGCAAGAGCCAATGTCTGGTTTTGAATGCTCTGCTATGAGTTGAAATTAAATGGTTATGGTGGTTCCACAAGGTTGACATTGGACATGCGGGGCATAAAGTCAATAATAAACTCATTGGGGCCGAGTGAACTGAGTGGGGCCTGAGTACAACGATCCTGAAATGAGCTGCTTTGTCAGGTCTGGTGATAAAACCAGGGCATGCTGTTGTATGGACGAATAGAGCAGTCCTTGCACCCCAAGCCACCAGTGGTATGTACAGTACACAGCACACCTAACAGCACTCCCCCCGGCACCGCATGTGAACATGGCACTGGCGAGTCAGCCTGGCATGGCAGCTAGAGCGAGGTGAAGGGCAGCGAGGAGGCATCTGGGAAGGTGTGGTCGAGGAGGGCGTAGGTGCCGGAGGCGAGCAGCAGGGCACCGCTGGCGGGGTTGATCCACAGCGCGTGCTGCCTGAGCGCCAGCAGGCGCTTGAGCGCGCCTGTGAAGGCGGCTGCCAGCATGAGCGGCGACACGAAGCCCAACGTGTACACCAGCAGCAGTGCCCCGCCCAGCACCGCGTCCTGCCATGCCATTGGGGGGGTAGAGCGGTGCACAGGCAGGGGTAGTGCGGTGCACAGGCAGGGGTAGTGCGGTGCACAGGCAGGGGTAGTGCGGGGAATGTAAGCAGGGAGAGAGAGAGAGAGACAGGGAGACGCAATGGCAAGGAGTTAAGGGTGTGGTGTGAATAAGAGTGCGTGGGGAGGTGGGTGCATGACAAGGATAACACACAGCGAGCAACGACGCACAGTGGTGAGCTGAGCATCACCATCTGCACCGCCCTGCCTGCACTCACCCCGGTGGACGCCTGCACTCACCCCGGTGGACGCCTGCACTCACCCCAGTGGACGCCACGTAGGCCAGCAGCGACGCCAGCACGGGCGTGGCGCACGGCGACGCCACAAACGCGAAGGCGCCGCCCGCGAGGAGCATCTGCACCGCACTGGGGAGGCGCGCCGCCGCCTGCTTGGCGTCGAAGCCGCCGAAGGCGGAGGGGAGGCGGAGGGGCAGCAGGCCGAGCAGGTTGAGTCCCATGGCCACCGCCACGCCCCCCGCCACCACCGGCAGCACCCCCGCCACCACCCCCCCTGCGCCGCCCCCCGCTGCCTGCCCGTACGCGCGCCCCGCGAGCGCCGCCGCGACGCCCATGGCGGCGCGCGTGGCGGCGAGGCCGAGCGCGAAGCAGGCGGCGTCGGCGGCGATGAGGGCGCGCGGCTTGGCGGCCTGGAAGCCGGCGATGTAGCCGACGGTGAGCGGCAGCACGGACAGCGTGCACGGCGTCAGCGACGTCGCCACGCCCGCCGCGAACAGCACGGCGACGCTCGCGGGCGACAGCGACGCGAGCTCCAGCGACACGAGGCGGTCCGACAGGTGCGCCGCGGCGAAGAGCGCGTCGTCGGCGGCGTCCCACGCGGCGGAGAGGTCCAGCGCCGCCAGCGGGAGCGCGGGGAGGGGCAGCGCGCCGACGGCGGATGCGGCGAGCGGGGCAGGCAAAGGGGCAAGCAGGGATGCGGCGACGGCGGGAGGCGTCAAGGCGGAGAAGGTGAGGGCGATGGCGGAAGGGGGAAGCGCGAGGGAGAGGAGGGCGGAGAAGGATGCGGGAGGAAGGAGAGGCGCGGCTGAGGAGGGAGGCTGCGCGCCCTCGCTGCCGCCATCGTCATGCGCGCCTGCTGCGCGGGCGGCTGGAAGGGCAACGGCAACGCGCGCGCTAATTTCTGGCTCGCACCCTTGCGCGCTCTCCCCACATAGCCGTGTGGCTTCTTCGGCCGGCGCTGCAGGGAGCGCGCGGGCGGCTGCGAGGCAAAGGCGCGGGCGGCGCGAGAGCAGCCGGCTGGAGGAGGTGCCGGCGGGAACAGAGGAGAGCGCGACGCGCGACACGGGTGGCGAGCGGCAACGGTGACGGTGGGCCAGCCCAGTCTCTGCGGTAAGAGGGGCGCCGCGAGGCGCGGCGACTGCCATGCGCGACGTGCGGGTGGAATGCGGCGTGGCGTGGTGTGGGGCTGGACGCGTGGCACGCGAGGGTGGCAGTGTGTTGTGGTGTGGGACTGCCCACGCAATGACGCTGACAAGCCTCACGACATTCTGCGAAACTTGGGTGGAGTTACCCTGAGATGTACATCTGAAGTTGGAGTTAGCGTGTATACGATGTGGATAAATAACACAAGAGGATGACTGCTTATAGAGTACACGTGCTTGCTGCTGTTTTCCGCTTCCTCGCGCGCACAAGCTCAACTTCTGCTGTCCCACTGCATCAGATCCGTCCCTCTCGATCGCTGCCAAGTGATTTATCGCAATCTAGATTCTTCCGATTTAACGCGCTTCCACCGAGACCCTTGCGCTCTTCGAGTGCGGCGCGCACGCGGGGAAGCACGACGCGCACGCGGGGAAGCACGACGCGCACGCGGGGAAGCATGGCGCGCGAGGTGCAGATGGCGGACGGCGGCGACGACCCCAAGGCGACGCCCGAGGGAGGGGCGGGCGACGGGCGCGATGCGAAAGGCGAAGGGCAGACCAGCGCGCCGCAGACGCCGCAGCAAGTTCTGGCAGGTGGGCGGCGCGCGGGGTGCAGCAGGACGGGTGGGATTCGGGTGGAGGGAGCCTGCGCGGCGTGCGTGGGAGTGGATGATTGGATTCGTTCGTTCGGCAGTTGTGCGTGTGGCTGCTGCACGCCGCGGCCAGCATCCGTCCATGTCGGATCGCCCTCGCCCGCCTTGAATTTCACCCGTCCGCGTCAAATCTGATCCGTGCATCTCCTGCTTTGCCTCGCTGCTTCTTCTCACCCGATTTTCTCGAATGCTTTCGCCGCTCCCCTCTCCTCTCCCGCGCCTCTCCCGCGGTCGTGGTGGGCGCAGAGCTGCAGGCGCAGAGGCCGCTGGTGGAGCGCGCGGTGGTCACGCGCGAGGTGCGCGTGATGGCGCGCGCAGTGCGCGCCATGCTGGCGCTCCGCAGGAGGCTGACGGGCGGCGTCGTGCGCGCGTTCGTGCGCGCCAACGTGCACAGCGAGGCGGACGCGCACTCCACGCTGCTGGCGCTGCTGGCGCAGGTGAGAGCGGCGCGGGGAGTGTTGCGGGGACTGGTGTGAGGCGCCCAGGGGTGAGGCGGACAGTGGAGGCGGGGAGATTGGGACAGGTGAGTGGGGGACTGCTTCGTGTGAGTGAATCTAGCATGTCCTTGGGTGGTGGTTGCAGCGAAACGAATGATTTGTGCTTCTTCCCCCTGCGTGATTGCAAGGGGCATGGGGCATGGCATGCGGGGCGTGGGGCATGGGGCATGGGGCATGGGGCATGGGGCATGGGGCATGGGGCATGGGGCGTGGGGCGTGGGGCGTGGGGCGTGGGGGGGCGCAGGTGGACACGGACGAGGACATGGAAGGCGGGGCGGAAGTCCCCTCGCCCGCACCACCTGCATCCGCGGAAGGCGAGTCCACGTCGGTTGCAGCAGCAGCGGCGGGGGCGGGGGTGGTGCGGGCGACATGGCTGGCGGAGGTGGAGATGTTCTCCTTCCTCACGGCGCTCGTGCTGCTCATCGACCGCAAGGCCTTCCCCCTCGTGCGCCCCGCGCCCCTCTCTTGACTGCCTTCTCTTTTGACGCCTCTATGTACTCCCATTCTGTTGTGCTCACTCGTCAAACAGTAGAGGTGCTGCTCACCTATCCATGTGCCCATCATAAGTGCAGCGCCCTCCGCCATGCTGCATGTCTGCCGCACATCCACGTGCTATGCACATGCTCTTGTCTCATGCCCCATGCCCCACGGCCATACCTTGGCACCCGCAACTGCCTTCCCACCACCACCCCACCCCTCTGGTGCAGGCGTGTGAGTGTGCGTGGGCGGCGGTGCGGCGTCTGCAGCAGCTGAACCGGCGCACGTTGGACGTGTTGGGGGCGCGCATCTACTTCTACTTCTCCCTCGCGCACGAGCGCACCAACGCCCTCGCCTCCATCCGCAGGTAACCCCTCCCCCCCCCAACACACCACCACACCACACGTACCCCCTCTTCCAGTCGTTGCAGTGTCCACAGTGCCTCTCCCTCCTCCCTTTCCTCCAGCTTCACACCTTCGCTTCCTCCCTTGTAGCCCCTGCCCTTCTGCCACCCCCTCTCTCGCATGTCTCCCTCACAGCAACCCCTTCCGTGCCCCTCCGCCCCTCCGCCCCTCTCCCCGGGGGCAGCACGCTGCTGGCGGCGTTTCAGACGGCCACGCTGCGCCACGACGAGATCGGGCAGGTCAGCGCGCGTGCATGCTGCATGGGAGGGGGGCATGGGGGGGGGGAAGGGGCGTGGGGGGTGCAGGGGTCATGGCACGAGTGTTCTGGGGACAGGTTGAGTCAGGGGCAGGGGAAAGTGGTGAGGTGACAGGTCGGGGTTTCAAAGGGGGATGGGTGACGGAGGTGGTTGTTTCAAACTAAAACGTTGCGTGGTGGCTGGGCATGTGTGTGTGGTGCGCGCATGGCATGGCATGGCATGGCATGGCATGATGGCAGGAGATGCTGTTGAACCTGCTGCTGCGCAACTACCTGGCGTACAACCTGTACGACCAGGCTGACAAGCTGCGCTCCAAGGCCCTCCGCCCCGACTCCCACTCCAACCAGCAGGTGCGCCACTCCCACTCCAACCAGCAGGTGCGCCACTCCCACTCCAACCAGCAGGTGCGCCACTCCCACTCCAACCAGCAGGTGCGCCACTCCCACTCCAACCAGCAGGTGCGCCACTCCCACTCCAACCAGCAGGTGTCACTCCCGCTGCCTCTTTTGCTGTGCACTCGCTCGTTGC